ATTCCTACAACAAGGTACGGCTGGGGTGGCTCGGTGTTACGCGGTACCCACTGAGTAAACTGGCACCGGGTCGTTCCACGCGGACCCAGCTCGGAGAGAAAATCCCTGCTTGGTCCCTGGCTTTCAGGGAAGCGACATGAGGCTCAGAAAACACATTTTTGAGAGGTGAAACTTCAGCGTGCTCCGTTTGCCTTCTTTGGTGGGGGGGAAAGCAAGCGAGGTGCTTTCCACCGATCCGTTTCCTAGTAGCAGAGGACTTTGTTATCAGGCAGAAAAAGGCAGAGTGAGCTCCAGCTGCCAGACATGTCCAGGCTGGATGTAAGATGCTGCTTAAGGGGAAGGTTATTAAGCTTTGAGGCAAATTAAAAATTGAGATAGGATCTTTCTGGGTGCGTAATACCGCCGCTCAGACAGGCTGCGAGCCTTGGACCTGGGCTGCTTGTGAGGGATCCGCTGATTTTAAAATCCAGAATGCACGAGGATTGTCAGGTGCCCCCGGAGAAGGAACGTCTCGCTCTAATGCAGCTGCGAGCGTGCTCAGGGAGAGAATCTTTTACCTCTGTTGCAGGGTAACTGTACCCAGCGAGGTCAAATGTTTCAGGGTGTTGTCTTCTCCAGGTTCTGCGCCTGCTGGACATGGTGGGTTTGCCGGAGCTGGTCATCCAGCTGGCTACCCTGGCCATCATGGAATCAGCGGACGACTGGAGAAGCCAGGTATCGGTCACCTCTGCATTGAGCTGTTTCTTTGGGAGAGCTTATACAGGAATTAGTTTGTGGTTGTGTAACTCAAGACGTTTGTGCTCTCTGGTGTTTTCAGGCTACTTTGAGGACCTGCATCTTCAAACATCACTTGGATTTAGGACACAACAGCGAAGCATACGTAGCCTTAACCCAAAATCCGGATCCAGGCAGGTTGGTGACGGTTTTATGCCTTGGTGTTGCCTTGTCTTGGCGGTCTGTGTACCAGTTTTTTCCTCAAACTGAAAGGGAGAGGATGCTTTAGGGTAGGGCGTGGCTGCTGTGTGAAGAGGTTCTGGTTCAGCTCGTGTAATGGTGCGTTTAAAAAGGTTTTTGCTTCATTTTGGTAAGGACAGCTGGGATCAGCGCCGTCTCAAAGGGGGAATCTGGGAGGCGAAAACAAAAAGCAGCTGATTTGGGGAGGAGAAAAAGAAAGGCTGAAGGATCACATGCGGCCGTGGATGCTGAAAAGCTTCGGGAGTCAATTTAGCTTAATAGAGAAAAGCCTTGGAATTGAATTTGCAGCTTGAGGGCTGTGTGGGAAGAGCAGGCTTCAGCCTGGTGGAGGAGGGGTGTGATGAGTAGGAATGACTGGGAAAGATGTTCAGAGACGCAGGAATGTGTTTTAATGGTGGCTGAAGACCAAATCTTACCGAATAGAGCTGAGGGAGGAGCCCTGCCCTCTCTGGAGAGACCTTTGCAGAGCCTCTGCTGTCCGGCATCTCCATTTCCAGCTCGGAAGAAGTCCGAAGGGACTCAGCCAGGAGGAAAACCTCTACACCTTGATGCTTTTAATCCTCGGGATGTTTTGTCTCCCTCTGCAGGCAGCTGGACTGTCTACGCCAGCTGGTGGTGGTTCTCTGCGAGCGCTCCCAGCTCCAGGATCTGGTGGAGTTCCCCTACGTCAACCTCCACAACGAGGTAACCGGTCTGTGCTGGGAGGGACCCGGAGAGCGCGGCTGCTTTCTTTTAAAAAAAGGATTTCCGACCCATTTTGAGCCTTGATGTGCCACAGGTCGTGGGGATCATCGAATCTCACGCGCGGGCCGTGGACCTGATGACCCACAAT